TATATATATATATATATATATATATATATATATATATATATATACATATATATTAAATTGTCCGAACAAATTGAGTTTGATTTTGTCGCCCAATTCATATAATTGTGTAAGAAATGTATTTTGAAAAATGGATGAAGGATCCAACGTTCTATTCTTTTTATAGAAACTAAAATCTCTTGTCGCATGTATTATAAAATGAATAGAAAAAATAATTTATAAATTTCTTACATATAAAAATAAGAATCTGACAAATTCGCTCGTGATCTTACAATCTAAGATCTATAATTATATTCTGCTACTATTCGTATTTTATTCATTCCATTGTTATGCTTCCGCCCTATTTTAATTTTTTTCCCTACCACTATAAAGAGTGAATTGACACAACCCATAATTTTCTTAGGCTCCACACACCATGTTGGATTTCTGATAAGGAGTTCAAGTATCCAAAGACAAGATAGTTGTATATTTGTATTATTATTCACACACTCTAATTATCTTTCTTTAGTTTTGACTCTTCTTTCAAAAGTCAACTATATATATATATATATATTTAAATCATTTAGTTTCAACGACTCTTCAAAAGTTTAAATAATATTCCACACACCAACATGGTGTTTCTGTAAGTGGCTATGTTATTTTGTATACAACTTTAATTTCATGATACAAATTAAACACTTCTATATTATAATTACTAAACTCAAAATGTAACTAATTACGAGGGAACAACACACCATGTGGGTTATATTATTTCTATATATGAACTTTATAATCCTTGAGTAAATTTTTTGAGAAACCAAATAAGTTAGTTATTTAGTATTAACATTTTAACAAAAGTTGTCTTGCACCTACTCAACTTATTTTCAGCTGGTTTAGCCCAACCATAATACTGAATTAAATTGGCCCAATTGCAATTAGTCAATCTCTTTAATTATTAAAAAGGAACTTAAAAAAAATATACTATAGTTTAAGTTTGACTAGAGATTTATAATAGTAATTTGTATGATTACAATTCTTAGTTATATGCTAGGTAGATTGATGAGGAGAGGGGCAATGGAGATTTGAGAGAGAAGCGAAAAAGAGATTGAGTAAATGTTGTATTCATTGTATCACGAATGCAATTAATATAATTGATTTATATCAATAATGAATACATCAATATTATGTTACTGTCGTCTATCCCTACAAAGATAAATAGAAATATTTATCAATTATCCAAGTGCTTCATTAATCAATTTGTTTGAAAAAGTAAAACTCACCACCTTAATAATTCACTAGGAAAATACCATTAATGTTGTGGTTCCTAGTTGTCTACAACAAATGTTGTTACTTTTCACATTCAATAATACATACAAATTAAACAACGAATATAAATGTATATGATGGTGACAACCATTGTTTGGTCGATCTGTATTCAACAAATTAAAAGTACAGCTCCTCATAGTATAGACAGAGACATTATACCAAAAATATCACTTTAACAATAATTAATTAACGATAATAGCTTAATTACTGTTAAATATATTCATTTAGAAGCAATTAGCCCTCTTTATAAATATCCTAAATTTTATAGCGACATTGAACCAAATGACAATTAAATAATATCAACAAAAAAATTTTGACACTATTTTTTTATTAATAAATATATACATATTAATAAATGGTTACTTTACTTTGCGGCTAAAGATAAGTTTAAAAGGTTCCAATCAAAATAACATGAGGTTGAAACAAGATAACATAATTTGATCCAAGCATAGGAGAGTAATCTCTCAAAGATTTCTTACCAAATTGGAGTATATTAAATACTTAAAGAAGCATAATCAAAGATTTGATTTTTGTGAATGAAATCTTAAGGATTACTTTTTAAAAAAAAGGTAATTATGTGGATGCCATGGAAAAGCCACATATTAATTGTCTAAGTATTATTTTGTGGTTTTAAATGCACAAATTTGAGGTTGAAAATGAGGTCGTCAATAAATAAAATAAAGTAAAAAGAAGATAAAATTAAGCAAATATTTGGTAAGATTGAGTAAGAACTAATTTATTTTCATTAAAATTAAAATATTTGAATAACATATATATATATATATATATATTTGAAATATAAGATGTCCGAATTTGTTTGTATTTACATATAAATACTAAGATGTTATATGCTTAATTAATCCAACCTTACATTTTTATTTCAATTCATTTTCATTCGATACACTTTTTAAACGCAGTAAACTCTCAATGATTTCAAAACATTAAAGATAACATTGTGTCAAAAAAATTACACATAAGATACAAGCGACAATATAAATAAAAAGATATATATACTTTTAGCCGAATATTAAATACTTTGTTAGAATATTCGTGCTTATAAGAAAGAAACTAATCTTATCTCAAAAAAAATAATTGAAATAATAGAATCGAAATTTGCAATCAATGGTAAGAAGATCGATCCAATCCAAACATACTTCGAGTTGATGTGAATTTTGTTTCATGAATCCAAAAATTAAAAATTAATATCAAAATTCTCATATTTAAATCGAATTTTCCTAACTTAGATTTGGAAGTAAAGTGCCTAACTTAAGATTTGGTCCATGTACTAAGAAGTTCTGAATTGACCCAAAAAAATGACAAGTGTTCAAAAAGAGAAAGTTAGAAGCACACATGGCAAAAGGTGACCAATACTTGGTTTACAAATTTATATTTACAACACCCAACTAGCACTTTTAATACCATTTGTGTTACCACTTTTCCTATTAATGATCAGTTCAATCGATATGATATGATTTTCCGCAGGAAAATCAAAAGACTTGGTCAAACTTTTTGCATTGTTTATACCTATAATCTTCTAGAACAATTACGTGATG